TAAGTCTTGAAAGATAGAAATGTATAATTCTTGAATAGCTTAATCTCAAATAAACAGAGGCAGGATTGCCGAATTATAAAAAAAAAGCATAGGCTTACTATTAATATTAAAAAAAAAAAAAAAAAAAAAAAAAATTAACAAAAAAAAGTTTTTTGAAAAATTAATTTTTATAGTATAAATTTTTGAGTTATATAGTTTATCGCAGATGCATTGTAATGTACTCTTGATTAACCAATTAAAATATAAGATCAGGTATAATATTACACAATTAGAAAATTCAAAACAAGCATTCATTTTGCCAAAAATTGTTTATAATTCAAAATTTTACTTATACAACTACCCATATCCACCGATTTGATTTTTAGAGGTCTTTTTTTGATAAACTATTATACAAACTTTTGCTATTAAGTGACATAAAGAATAACAAATGAAACCTTCAAATAAAATAGTTTTTTGACTTCTATGTAGAATAAATAAGCAATAAATATTCAAAGAACAGCTACACTAAGCTGTAAAAGGAAGCATTATCACTAATTATTAAAGTATTAGAGTATTTTCAGATAGTAAAGGATTGGTTTGTCATTAAACAATCAGTTGTATAATGGATAAGAATAAATTCAGAAGCAATTTTTAGAAAAACTGCTTTTTTAACTTACTTTTAGCTAATAATTAAACATGTAAATATTAAAATATTCTATAAAAGGTATGGCGATTTAGAGTAGTAGTTAAGTTGTCACTCCCTAAGCAGCAGGTCTAGAGTTTAAATTCTACTAAAAATGTTTTTAAAACAATAGATCTGTATACTGATAACAATTATTTGATAATCAGTTAGGTATATTATCTGTAATTTTGATACTACTATCTTGAAATAGAAGCTCTTAAGCGATCTAAATCTAAGAAACTAGAATAATTGAAACTTATTTGGCAAGACCTGAGCAAGGAGGTAGTTAAGATCTTTGATAATACTATGAAAAGCTAAAAATCAGTGACTAAAGAATCAGACAAAAATTACAGGGCAAGAAGGATCTACCAACCAGGTTGTCAGAATCGCATTAGAGGAAAAGATCCTATGCTATGAAATTAGGAACCAAGGAAAGTAAAACCAGAAAGCACTTAAAGCCTAGATACAACAACCTATCTGGACTAACTGGTTTGATAGTTTGGAAGATATTGGTATAAAGATCAGTTTAATGTGAGTATTGAGATTGAAACAAACTTTATAAGGATATCAAATACTAGAATTGTGCAGTTTAATAGTTAGCTCTAACTGCTAGTAGTAGTTTTAGCTGCTGCAGAAGATATTTGTTGCCTAATCTGAAAATGTGTAGAATATAAAGATTAGAAGAGTATATACTACACCTCCTCTAGGCAATCTGGTAATATAAGAACTCTACTGAGTTATCTATAGAATTAGGATCAAATAGTATAGTATATATTGATCTGGGTGGCTTTTAATTGAAGCAGTATAAAGTTATAGACTGGCGTAATTATAGTGGTAATGCAGGATGGGAAACACTAGAGAGTTTAAATGGATAATCTTCTAGTTAGATTACAGGTGTGGCATATAGTATAAAACCTTTGGACAAACTACTTAAATAGGCAACTAAAAGTTGCATATATAGCTATATATACTCTCATTAACCAAGAATATACTACTAAAATGTCTAATAAAAATTGCCTTTTCATAATATTGCGAAGGTTAAAAAAAAAAATATATATATTCTATACATTTAATTATAGATTAAAAGTAAGTTTAAAAAACCATTGTTGTAAAAACTTACTTGTAATAAGTTTTAATAGCAAATAATTCTCAATTATGATTGGCTAATTTTAGGATAAAACCAAATCAGTAGATATGCTTTTGGATTCTAATAAAAAAATTTTCTTGCAAGATTTACTATAAGCCTATCTTTTGTATCTACCTTAATCTTACTTACACTAACTCTAATCATATAAAAAACCATTGTTTTGATTTTATATTATATCTAATCTTATGAGATGAATTATAATGCATCTGTAATAAATGATTAAATCCTAAATTTTATAATAAATTATAAGAAATTGCAAAATTTAAAGAGCTACACTGCAAAATTTTATTAATACAACTACTTTTGTGTTTTAAGTAAAAATGATCTTGATCTTATTCTAAATTAATTTATACAAAAAAAATTAATTTTAATAAATTTGTCAATTTCCTCCCTTTCTATAACACCTAGTCCATATATAAAAAATTGTGTGACTATTAAAATCTTTGTTTAATAAAATTTTCTTTAAATTTTAAAAAATTGAGTCAATTGTTTGATTTAACTTTACAGGAGTTATAAAGACAAAAAATACATCAACTTTAATAAAAAATTTTTTGAATTACTTAACAAAGTTTCTAACAAAAAAAATAAAAAATTTTGTATTTTTTTAAAAAAATTAAATTATATATATAATTTAATGTGTCGATTTATAGTAATAGCAATAAAAACCACTGTACAAAAACATGTCCTGTGAATGATATATATTTCCTGAATTCCTTTAGTATTTATACTCTTTTTCAAATTCTTTCATAACAAATTTTATATACTGTATATTATCGAATAAAAGCAACCCCCTTGATTTTGGTTTTACTGGTAAAATTAGACCTGAATAGAACTTTGGCCAGAAAAAAGTACTCATTTTGGTAGCTTTTATACGGTAGTATTTTATAGTATCATTTTATTAGAAAATTCTGTGAAATTTACTTTCTAATTTTTTTTTACTTGAACTGTAGGACCGCAGCCCCTTATTACATTAGCATTAACCAGTTTGGTTTAAGAGGCGTTATAACCAGGCTTTCGGTTCATTGCAGCAATATAGGGTGAAGTGATTACGTACGTAGATTGTTCAAAGGGAGATAAATATAGTATGTGAATCAAGGGTGGGATCAACCTGCGACCAATAGGAGACCTGGGTGAAATTAGTAAATGCTATCAAAAAGAAAGGACAATACATCAGCAAACAAGGTTAATACAAAAAAAAAATTGTCTTGAAGTAGAATTCCACAAAAAGCTTTATGCAATTACGTTAGATGAAATTGTCACCTCAAATCTTACCCGGATGATGCATTAACTTCTATATGAGTAAATTTATACGTATCCTGCAGTACAATAACGATATTGAAAAATTTGATGACGTAACTACCTTATCCAGACGATAAAATGTTCTTATTTACTGATTATAGTGATCTATGTGATTGACCTGACTTTTTTTTTCTTCAAAGTTTAGCAATTTAAATTCAAACGACCGACAGTTAGGAGTAAACGGTTAAGGTATGGAACAAAAAACTTTCTTGCCTTTATTTGAATGATTTACATGTAAGTAATAAAACTTCGGACATTAGTTGTCAGCGCCATGAGTGTCTTGAAGGATACCGCGACCGTAAATGAAGGTTGACGGTAACATTCCAAGTCACTCTTTATTGGACTATCACGTAAACCTGATATTCATTCCCATTTTTCTAACCAGAGGATGCCAATCTTCTCGTATTGATCATTGATACAAATCCGTTGGTCTGGAAGAAGTCAGGTTTTCCCTTGAAAGAGGCTTTACGCCACCTTTTGGTATTCATCAACGCTCACTTGGCTCTAAAACACGATAACGATGTTGCAATCATTGCAAGTCATATTGGTGTCAGGTATGGGTTACTAAAAATAAATCTAGTCAGTAGCATCAATTCATATTTGACATTCTTGATGGTTTTTACTGTAGTAAATTCCTATATCCAATACCGACCCATGAAAATTCTGATAAAACGATCTTTCCTAATATGTACCAAAAATTTCGGGTGATTGATGAAAAAGTAATAGCAAATATGAGTGCATTATTCGAAGATGTTGATACTCCAAATAATTATCCTGATAAAGGTTTGGTAGTTTTATATAATTAGAATGTTATCATTAAAGGAATTTCTGAACCTTTATCATATGAAATTTCAACAGCAAGTTCTATGATCGCGGGTGCACTATCGATGGCATTATGTTGTATCCTTTACTGTTTGATTTATTAGCTTAATTCATCTCCAGTTTACATAAAAACAAATATACTATTTAGTACCGCTTATAGTATCCAGGATTTATTCAACACTTCATATTTTTTTTTAAACTGATTAGTGCCTGGAAAATTATACCTCAAGTATCATTCCTGAATTAGAATGATATGGTGAATAATAATACCTGGGTCGTAATTATGGGGGATATTATAAGCAGTACTAAACGGTAGATTATTATGTTGTTATCTCTTATCCTTGACCATCGTCAATAGACATCAATCGTATTACAAAAGCTGATGAAGTAGGTCATGTAAAATCTCGTATACTGATCATATCAGTATCCCCAGATTCTCCTTATCAGTACATATCTATAATGAACTGCATTTTTTCTGCACAAAAATTGGTTAGTCTTTTTATCTCAAGTATCATGTTTTTATTATCAAATTTGAGTACTGCCAAATGAAAATGATGAACTTTTCCATGTTTCATGGAGACACTAATTGTTTACTATCATTGACTTTCTTTGAAATGATTAGTGCATTCCCATTGATGTTTGTAAAGTCTACGGAGGAGATACTCCGGTATTCTTGCAACAAGCATCGCATATAACTGGTGGAAAATACTTGAAGCTTGACAAGGCCCAAGGATTATTACAATTCTTAATGGTATGTTCAATTTAGTTAAGCTGGTAATAAATACAAGCTACGATTCAATGCTCACGTGTAACATATTATTATTAAATTTAGATTGCATTTTTACCTGATCGATACAACAAAAAATACCTTTGTTTGCCAGGGGAGGAAAAAGTGGATTTTGGGGCAGCTTGTTTCTGTCACAAAAAGATTATTGATGTAGGATATGTATGCTCAGTTTGTTTGTCAAGTATCCTTAATTTGTTTTTATTTCGGTTGAGTGTGTACAAAAAAAGATATTTTTCCTTGACCATTTGTATTGTATGAATTTTAAAGTATTCTGTAAACCGTTAGAAGAGTGTTCTACGTGCAGGTATTTTTTTTTTTTTAAAGTTTATTTACTTGTAAATTTCTCGTTTAAGATATTTAGGACTATTTCAACTCTTTTCAAGGACAAAATTGATGTTGGCGTCAGCCAAACAAAATGGGCAGAAAATGGGGGTCATCTAAAACCAGGTGCGATTGCATAACTTGGTGATCAGTGACCGAACTGTCCGATTTGATCTATTCAACCAATCAAAAGAATTATGATAACAGTAATAAACTCTTAATATTTACGTAGTTAATAGTAGTATTAAATCTGAATAACATATTTCTTTAATCTGGTTTGTGCCTGGTTTATATTATGCATTTTATTAGTTTATGAAATTCGATTAATAAACGAATATACATAAACATTATACCTGCAATTATAATTAGCTTTAAAAAAGTGTTGAATTTCACGTTCTTATGACTAGGAGGAAATGGAACCGTTAGAAGTTCAAATAGTAATATTTTTCATTTAAACAAATTTAGTCGTCGGCTATGCTTTGGGCAATAATTCAAGCTCAAATTATTTTAAATCAGACGAGTCAATATTATCGTTGAGAAATAACTGCAGAAGAGTCACTGCTGTCGAATCCATAGGGCAAAAGAATATCGTATGACTTACGGTCATTTGCAATCGCTATCCTATCTAGGAATTAAATTGCAAGGATCATTAAATATGTCTATTTCACTGTCCAAACAAATGTTATTTCGCTATCCATATCCCTCAAAACACCAAGGAAAGATAGTTGATAAAAAAAACTTTACTGTCTTTTTATTTCGAAACTAGTTTTTTAATTTTAATTATTAACAAAAGACCAGCTTTATGAATGTGTAAAGACCTACACTAATATATTAATTTACAAATAATTTTAATTGTTTATATATCAAAGATAGAAATCGTTCAAAATTTTAAAATACATATTAAGAATTATTTGATAGTCTTTCAAATAAATACTGTATATGATGAAAAGGATTTGTAATAGGGATGTTGAATAATAAACCTTATTCATAATGGGTTATTGAAATTAAGGTCTTAAATAACGAAAGCATGTTATCATAAAGTGTTGTAGTGAAATGAGTGGGTAGTGATATTAATAAATTGAATCGATTAGTTAGAACTACGTATAAGTTTTTTTTTCTTTACTGCAATGAAAGGTCTCAATCCGGTATCTGCAGTGATGTACATTGGACAAAATTGGACATTTGGATACCTTTGGATTGAACGTCCAATCCAAACGTCCACCTTTGGATTGGACGCCAATCAATGTCCACCTTTGGATTGGACGTCCAATTCAATGTTTTGGACGTACAATGTCCAGTCAAAACATTTGGACATGACAACACTGGGTATCTGTATTTGACAAAAAATCATCGAAAATAAATAAATAGTACAACGAACTTAATAACCAAAAAAAAAGTACTCACTTAAGCCTTATCTCAAATGTATCAAAATGAGTTCTATTTTTTTATTTTTATTTTTTTTTGATTCTTTAAAATAAAGACTTATTACAATTAAATAGACGTTCTATGAAAGTTTTAATAATATGAAAGTTAATATAAGCCGTTTGGCCTTATTATCTTTTTTTTAATATTGTCCTTGTAAGCTTGCTCTTCCTCTTACAATAGCTTCAGCATAACTAGGCAATTGTTCATCATCAGGATCTCTGGGTCTATAGGTTATAAAGTCATCGTTTTGATCAATTGATCCGTCAAAATTATCCCTTCTACTTCTTCTTAGTATAATTTCATCATCATGTATTTGAGATACTCCATCCCTTTCAAATTTTCTTTTTTCTCCTCTTCTGAACCAACATAAAACTATAATGCCTAAAACCGTTATTATTCCAACTGAACTTAAAACAGACGCAGCAAGTATAATTGCTTGTGGAGAACTTGAATCTGGTGTATTGGAAACAGAAGGTGTTGTTGTTATTATCCTATCTGTAAGAACGGTCACAGTTATATATGGAGTAATCATTCCTGGAGGCGTCGGGATTGCTGCTACTGATATTGGTACATTATTCGTCTGTATGGCCTTTAAGGTTGATATATTTGTTTTCGTGGCAGTTTCTCGTAAGGTAGGAAAGGTGGTGGTTTCTGTAGGTGATATAGTTTCTGTAGGTGGTATAGATTCTACATCCTGACGTTTTATGACTTCTCTTCGTGTCATTATCCTTGTCAGTATCTTTTATAATCCTCAAAGAATAAATTATGACTTGCAAAATCTACAAGAAAGGGGTTAAACCCGGGGATATAATTAACATTACTTACATTCTAGTTATGTTGTACATAGAGTTAATTAGTTGCTATTTTTAACTATCAAACAAATAATTTCGCAGATAAAGATCAATGTAGTGTGACACCTTCAACTTTTATATATATTATAGTTATCGTGATAATCTCCAAAAAGGTATAAGCTTGGCAATGCGCTCATGTGATTCGCAATTTACGTACAATTAATTATTTGTTTAATTGGACAATGATTTTGGACATATGGCATTAATGCTACGTAAGGCTAAGGACTAATACAGTAATAAAATAATATTGGACTTAACGTTAAAGCTAGTACTCGACATAATCAAACAAAAACTTGACTAATCAAGTCGGATGTTATACAGTATATTACAGTAACTTGATCAAGTATTTGGGGGTCGTTTTGAGTAGTGCTCCTAACGGGTTTGATCTGAATGACCCGAAACTGATCTAGTTATAATAAGTTTAGTATATGAGTTTTGAGAACTAATTAAGGCTAGTAACAATACTGGCAAGAATTATAAAAAATGTCAAGTTAATGGCAATAATGGTAAAATTAACATTTTTTTCTCTAGTGATATTCCTAATTGATTCGCATAATTTGCAATATATTTGACATAAATGGACTTGTAAAATGAGAGTCCCTAATTGCGACATTTGGAAAAACGTTCGCAGCCTTCAAAGTGCAAAATTATCACGTGATAACATGACACAAATATTGAAATTTTTTCTGATAATCAAATTTACTATTCACTAAAAGATGTTAAAGTTTTTTACACATTACCTAGTTTTATCATCACAAAAAAGGGCAATTACTATTCGAAATAGCTTTATTTTTTCAACACAACAGAGATTGGTAAATACTATTGCAAAGAACAATGCAAAATTAGATATTGTAGCCTATAATGAGCTAATGAGAACGAACTTACGTTCAAATGAACATTTGAAAAAGGTTGTAGATGTATATGAAGAAGTAATACGTAACGACGTTGAACCTAATGTCGCCACGTTCAATATATTGATGGAAATGTGGATTAAAGAAGGTGATATAAACAAAATTTCGGGACTTTATCAGCAGATGTTGGATAAAGGAATACAGCCAAATTCGGTTACTTTTTCTGTTGTCATACCGGCACAAGTAATATCAGGAAAAACAAATCAAGCGTTAGAATTATTACGAAAGATGATTTCAATGGAAGAGTCAATGGAACACAAATCTCGAATTTTCTATAAACTTTTTCAAAATTTTAAGGGTGATCTAGCGTTGACTAAAAATTTTTTACAAGGGATAGTTGATCATAAAATAAATATAAATCACAAGATATATAACGACCTTATTAATGCTTATGCTAAAAAACCTGATATTAACGGGGCATTTGAGATATACAATGCACTCATCAATCAAGGGGGGATGATAGATGTCATCACATTTACCAATATGATAAAAGCAATTATTCAAGCCGATAAAACCGAAGAAGCAATGCAATTTTATTATGAAGTTAAACAAACAGGAATCCAGTTAGATACCCAAGCATACACAACCATGTTGGATACTTTCGTTAAAATGAGACGAACAGCTGAAGCACAAAGAATTTTTGTCGAAATGCGAAGATCAAAAGTAAAGCCTAATGTATTCACTTATACATCCCTTATAACTGGACTAGGACAAACCTACAATTATGATGGTGTAAGAAATGTACATAATTTAGTTAGAATGGATCTTAATGTTGAATTAGATATAGGGATTTACAATGCTTTAATGGACGCTTATAATAGATGTGGTCATATACATCAAGTTCTTTTGATTTGGGATTTATTAATTATTGGCGAGCTACCAATTGATAATTCTACAGTATCGATAATTCTAGATTCGTGTGGTTATGGAAGAGTTATCCATAGGATTTTAAATATTTGGAAATATCTTCAAGACAAGAAATTTCCTTTAAATCTTAATAATTATCATTCATATATCGAAGCATTAGCTCGTAATCAATTATTTGATGAAGCTAAAAATGTCTTAATGAATGAATTGAAGAATAACGGATTTAAGCCTGAAACAAAAACAATAAGGTCTTTATTAAATTTTTTACATGACGTACCAAAAAAAAGTAGGTGTGAATATGAAATTATCGAATGGGTTAGAAACGAATATCCAGATTTAGCTAAAGAAATGAAGTTTACCGAGCGAAAATCTTCTAAAAAGAGTGGTGACTAAGGCAGCAATTACCTAGAGCCTTATTAGATTTCTCAACCACTAAAACTGGACCGTAATTTGATTATTGAAATAAAACTTGTTAATATTAAAGAGTTTTGATTATTGAATATAAAGGAATAATATTTGTTAATTATGAGTTTTCCCACAATTTTAGTCCTAGATTATTTTTGAGATTAATGCGTCGCGATCAAGAAACGTGAAAATTTTGAAAACAAAAATTTCAAACTTTTCCAAATTTTGGTATTCGATTTCAAAATTTCAAAATTTGACCCAAATAATATTGATTTCTATACACGTGAAAAGTTTGAATATCAATAATATCAAAGCTTAAATTTTTATTTGAATATCGATTAATATTTGAGAAAAATGTGAATAAAAAAAAATTAAAAATTTGGAAATTTTTATACTATGTGGTAGCTGATGCTATATAAAATTAGAGGTTTTATCTAAATCCATAACATCTACTAAAATTACAGTACAGTCAAACCCCTCTATAGTCACACCTTTGGATACAAAAAGCTGTGATTATAAAGAGGTGTGACTAATATAGAGGTATTTTCTATATAGTTATAAATAATTGGTAAAAGTAAATTTAT